CTGAATTCAATGGTTTGAAACTGAATTCAATGGTTTGAAACTGAATTCAGTGGTTTGGAACTGAATTAATTTGCTTTGAAAATTCAGTTTTATAATTCAGTTTCAGTTTCAACATTGAATTTGATGTGTGACACATCCGGATCCTTCCAGAGTAATCGAACACTGACTGACGTGAAAACTTCTTTTACGGAAATGTAGGGACGGGGTTCAGTCTCACGAGGTGGTAAAACAGAGAACGTTCACCATGTCAGATGGCCAGCGGTCAAACCCTCAGGTTTGTATCAAATTTATTACGTGTTTAAGAAGCGTCATATAAATAAATGATTATAACAGTCATGCTAACTTTATCTGTTAGCTAAAGACGCTAATCATCATAATGTCATAATGTTTGGGCTTGAAAAACAAATGTTTTTAACCGATACATTCTGAAAGCAGACTGTTGATCACAGAAGCACTCGTTCATTAAACGTGTCGGAAATTTATCAAGAGTTTGTTTTGACGTGTCTCGTTTAATTTTCATGATTTCAAAGTAGACAGTGATCTGATGGTTTTAATCCATGTGACGCTATATGTGCAGCGCAAGATTTTTCTGAAAATATAAATATTAAAACTAGTCAGTGACGCGTGGAGCGTTTTAATTTTTAGAGAAAAGTCATAAAGTTTTATTCAGCAGGATTTATTGCTGTACATAAATTAGCAAACATAAACCTCTAGTATGAGTCGGGCTGGTATCTGAATGGTTCGTGAATTCTGTTTGAATTCATTTTTCAAAATCTTACACGATACAGGGTGAGAGCTAGGGCTGGGCACAAACACTTTAAACAGCTTGTAGTTGGTGTTTGTTTCAAATCCACTGGTGGTGGAAGAGGTGCAACCCATTAATCCAGTCTTTTATTCATCTTCATGACAACAAATTTGTTCTGCAACACTGACTGCTACCCTCAAACTCCAGTCGTTTGGCTGTTTTCCCATACAGCATTACATACCACAGTCACTGAAGAAAGAGACGCGAGCGTTGTGGCCTGGGTGAGACACCTTCATGGCTTGTGGGCGCGGCCCTTTCATCCCACTGTCAGCTTCCAAAGATCAAAGGAGATGAATGCACCAAACTTTGCCGTCATCGGCACGTCGATCCTTAATTCAACAGATTTGAGTTTGTTGAATCTTCCAGTCCAAGGTCAAAGTTTTTTTACTTGTGTGGTGACATTTGTCCATGAAAACCAAAAACAAACCAAAAATGAAGATCTACCTGAAGGTGAATGTTACTCAAATAGTCCCTTGTTGCTCCGTGGGTTTGTGTTTAACGCAGTACAAAGGAAAGGTCCAAAAAAATCCAGTTTATGGCCGGTTTATTCCAACTTGACAAACAATTCGCTGACACAGCTGCTCCTGCATCACTGCACCTCCTGTCGCCTCACCTCCGACTGGTAAAAACCATGTGACCCCACGTGCCCCTAAACCTCCCTACAGCCTTCATAGTTATGTCTCTAATACCCACATCCCAAATAAATATATGAACTAAACAAATTACTAACCAACAAATTTATTCTAAACATTTATGATTAAATGAAAATACTAATTTAAAAATCAAACCTAAAAATATGCTAATTTATAAACCAATAAACTAAATTCAAAGACAACAAAGAATAGACAAATGGTTCCTACAGGCTGCATCCCTTTACAGATGTGGAAGCTCCGACGTTTAGGTTAGTTAGGCAAGAACGATACAGCTGCTAACCAACGTCGTGAAGGCGGCGCAGCTGAAGAGGATTATTTAATATATGGAAATAGTTTATTTTGTAGACATTTATGTTTTACAGCTACAGTTTCCCTCTGGGATTAATTAAGTATTTTTTTAATTGAATCTGTTAATAAATGTGCCTGTGGCACAATTGGGACAAAGCTTTGACTCGGAAATACATTTTTATTACTTAACGAAAAGAAAAAATATTGAGATGTATAATGTATGTATATTGAGATTTATTTTAAAAATATCAATATATTAATGTTGGTCCATATCGCACAGCCCTAAATGAGTACAGGGTGCTGTGATGGGTACGGTAGTTAGTTATGAATCTTAGTGCACCATGAGAGACAGCATCCAACATCTGCAGCATCCAACATCTGCAGCATCCAACATCTGCAGCATCCAACATCTGCAGCATCCAACATCTGCAAGCAGCTGGCAGGAGCATTCATGTGAATAATGTCACCATAATCAATTAGGGATGGGGCCGATCCGATCCAGTATCATAATATACCATAGCATAGGTAAGAGGAAGAGGACTCCTTTAAGTCCTCCTGGAATAGGTGGCTGTGGAAACAGATATCTGAACCTCTTTGGTTAAGCTGCTGCCCCTGAGACCTGAGTCCAGAACAAGATGAAGATATTGGATGGATAATAAGGCCCTATTTACACGGACACGATGGGGGGAAACGTAGGTTTTTTCATATGTTAATTACAGGAAAAGATTTGCGTTGACACGTACAAATTTAGTGTTTACATGCATCCGGAGGAATCCCCCCTGCCCCCCTGAATCTTCTGTAGTTACCATGCCGGGTCATTAGTTGGCGCTGTGAGTTTTGTACATTCACCTAATGCACATGCGTGCTGCCTCGGCACGCTTCTTTTCTCTGGGCTAAAAGCTCAGTTAACAACATATTAACAAGTTAAAGCTGGATTTTGGATAAGAGTCGACAGATTTGACGCTAAGCGGGACCGCTTCATCTAACAGCTCCACACCGGTCGCTGAGTGGACCAGAACCGAGTCGATGATGTCGGACTTTACTCCGTAATAATCAGTAGCTGATTTACAGCAGGTAAATCAAATGTTCTTAATAATGTTTGATTGTGTTTACTTCAATCCCACAACAACCAGCTGATTTTTTTTATTTTTCCTGAAAGAAGAAGAAGCTGCCCTCCCACCAGGCGGACCGGTTCTGAACGAGGCTCGGCCCAGGTGCAGGGCAGCAGGATGTCGAAGACAGAGATGTTGGATGAACTATTTATTTAAAATCCCCCTCAGTTCTTTTATTCAATCCATTCAATGTTTTCAGCTGCATTAATCAAAGGAGTGACTTCCTGAACGAGTCAGATGAACAACGTGGGACATCCAGGATGAAAGAGTCCAGTTCATTAATGCAGTTTACTGTTAACGTGTTTTTAATAGTGTGTTCAGTTTAATTATCAGTGTTTGTGTGACATGCAGTTTGTGGTGTTGAATAAATAAATAAAAATTAAATTTGTCTTCATTTTCAACTTTAATAACATGCGATATGTTTGGCATCATTTTAATCACATAATTTTAATTCCATAATGTCCAGAGAGCTTCATTATATATCTCAAACTTGACATAAATACTGTTTATTATTATTAAACTTATTATTTGGCACATTCAGTATGTTAAAGTGCAGCGCGACGTGTGCACGTGCCTCGACAGGCTCGTTCTATAAACAGCGACATTAGAACTGGATCAGACTGTGTCTCTTCCAACACACACGTCGGTCACAGCACCTGGAATCTGACGTAGATTAACTACGAGATTAAAAATATATTCCATCAGTCGTAGTTCAGAAAGCAGTGTATCCGGCGCCATGTTGATAAAAAGATGTCGTCTGTCCACGTGTGCGCATGTGGTTTAACACAAAGCCGCAGCGGGAGACGTTTCCATCATCAGCGGGGGGGTCAGTGAAAAACCTCCACTCTGGAAGGTGGGTTCAGAAACTTCCGGATTCAAAGAGGGGGGGGCCACTGGTGTCAAATAAATGAACGGCAGAACCGCAGAGAGAAAGGAGCGGATTCACTCAAAATATGCGCCGTGTAAACGGCCCCTGAGAGACTTGGTTCAAAAACCTCTGGAATCGGGGAGAGCGGAGGATGGTGTCGTGTAAATGACCAGCAGAACTGCAGAGACTTCACTACTTGCTCTCGCTGAGATCGGATGCTTCTCCCCTCCCTCTCCGCTTTGCTGCTCAGTCTGTCTGTGAAACTGCTTCTGAGCCTCTCTTCACTTCTTCCGAACCATAATTATGGACTTGTTTTGATCAGTTGGTTCCTCAACTCAATTTACAACATTTCTTCGAAGAGAAGACAGGCTTTAGGCGAGCCGATTTGCCTGATGGCACGCACACAGCTGGATATCTCATCGACTGGAAGACGTGTCTATCTCTGCTTCCATCTGTGGATTTTAAGGACACATTATTAATTGGATTTACGATAACTGGTTCCTGCTTTTTGGATTCGGCTGGTTGCTGGTTTGATCAACAATCAAGGAAGTCGTCGGCAGCAAATTTGGACCCGATCACGCTGCTTACCTTTTTGATGGCTTGGTTCGTGCCTCGAGTACCCGGACTCAAATGCTTTGGGCTGAATGGATCAGATCTTGGGGATTTTACTCAGTCACGTTTCATTGTATGTGAATGTTCCTGTAAAGTGCCCTGAGACAACTTTGTTGTGATTTGGCGCTTTATAAATAAACTAAATTGAATTGAATTGGTGTGGCCATGTCATTTGGACATTTCGTAACCGAGTTGACCAACAAAGACTCAAGGTAGATGTCATTAAGTTCTGCCTGTCCCCAAAACAACTGTGTGTTTATCTGAATTTGGCTCCCATGGGTGGTCTTGAAGGCCATCTTATCTGAATTCACCTGGAGAACATGTGATCTGACACTCACCACCCCCTCCCTGAGGAATTTCCAACTGATAACCAGATGAACCAGCTGAATGAACTTGTGTCATCGTTTCAGGACTCTTGGATTCTCAGACGTTATTCTTGGCCATTCCTCAACATCCCTCGAGAATGTTTATGGATCTCACCGGAGGACACTGGCTGATTATTCCATTCTTATCAGAACTCTTACAGTGACCTCGAGAGCGTCTATGAACATTGCTGACCGCTCTCGTTGTCACCCCTCTGCAGAATGTCTACGTCACCATGTGCTTGTTTGTGTGAGGTGTTTTTTTTTATTATTAGAGGGTTTTTTCTCAGGCAGGAAAGAAAAAGTCTGATAGGAATTTTTTCACCTCCAACTCGTACACGTGTCCAGTTAACCGCTGTTTTTGTCTGTCCAAACAGGTCTCACTTGTAAATGAGTCTTTGAGGCTCAATGTGATTCATCTGTTTAAAAAAAGGTTGAATGAAAAAAAAAAGAGAGAAAGGTGCAGATTCACTCAAAATGTGCATCGTGTAAACGGCCCCTTAAAGTCTGTTGAACAACTCTGACATAAGAAAAGCTTCTCACCAACGTGGACCCTCAAGTATCAGGTTAACTGACTGTTGCAAGAAAAACATTTACCACAAATTTCACAGGTGAACAGTTTCTCACCTGTGTGACTTTTCTTGTGTCTCTTCAGTTCTGGACTGTCCACATCGTCTCCATGTTCTCTGGTTTGAGGACGTCTCTCGTTCTGTGTCAGCTCCTCTTCTCTGCTGGATCCAGGATCTTCAGTCCTGCTTCCTTCCTGATCTTGAGTCTCAGCTTCAGGAGAATTCTGAAGGAGTTGTTCCCAGTTTGCTTCTGGTTCCCAGTGATCTTTTTCGTCAAAGCCAACAGTCACCATGAAGGTCTCAGCTGCCAGCTTCACACCAAGCTGCTCTTCATCCTGACTGATGCAGAGTTCCTCCTGTTCCTCTTTCATCTGTGGAGGTTCTGGTTCTTTAACTTGTGATTCTGGTTCCTTCTCTGGAAGGTCTGGTTCTTCCTCTGGAGGTTCAGGTTCCTCTTGTTGTAAATGTTTGGGTTCCTCCTGGTCTTCTGTTTTCTGTGGTTGATGATCTCCTGCTGGAGGTTGTGGTTCCTCCTGGTCCAATCCAGAGTTCATCTTGTGGTTCCTGAGCTGCTGCTCAGTGAGAAGCTCCAGCTCCTCACGTCTCCAGACAAAATGCTGCGGAAGTTCTGGACCAAGAGACAAAGAAATGACGTCAGTGGACATAAGAAGTTGAAGCTGTCAACTAAAGCTGGGAGATTGGACAGTTCTATCGACCGTCACATGTTGGAGGCAACAGGGATTAATTTATGGACGATAGTTTCTGCTTTATTTGAGCTACTTTCACTTTCCCTTTGAAGAGCTCAGAACTGTTCAAATCTGTACACTTCAAATTAAAGCACAACAAAATACACCCTGACGGTGTTCAGCTCCCCACATTGATCTTCAACACTAACGTTAGCAACACGCCGTTCAGAGGTCCACCCTTCAGTACTTGTAGGAGAAACTCTGATAATGCACCTCCATGGTTACGCGTCATAAGAAATGCTCAAAAGTAAAAAGGTTTCAGTAAAAATCCTTCCAGTTGCACAGCATCCGATACCAGAGGAAACAATCGTCAGAAAAAAAGTGATTTACGTCCAGAAAAAAAGAGGAATTAAAGTTTTCAAAAGCAATAACTCAGACTGAATGTAACAGAGCTGCTGCAACGTGCAGCCACCCCGAGAGGAGCAATTCTAGAACATGAAGTAGAACTGAGCCTTAAAATGTGAGACAGCTGAGGAAGTTAACCAGTAAACAGACTACCTGCTCCAGGTGCAGAAATCTGACAGAAACTGACACTCACTCATCTGCAGGGACTGATTTAAAAGGTTGAACAAGAAAATGTGAAGTTAAATGAAACATCCTTGTCCCAAAGCCAGTTTAAGTATCATTAATATTTGGTTCCTTTATTTTTCTTTCTTTATGAATTGATTTAAACTATTTTCACGTTATTCAACAACCAAAATGGATTTTGTTTTTTAACGTAATGGCTAGGTATTAAAACCACTACCCAGTTATATATTGACCTTGACCTCTCTAAGTGGCTTTAATAATCTGTTGAACTCCTGGCAAGAACCAGTGCAGACATGTTCCTGATTTTAGTTGTCGACATTCGCCTTATAATCCAGCTGTTTGTTACTTTTTTACCATCTTATTTGTATTTTTTATTTAATCTGTATGCCTTTTTATAACTGTCTATTGTCATCGTTCTTTGTTGAATTCAGGTCTCTCTTGTAAATGAGTCCTCGAGGCTCAATGGGATTAACCCGTCTAAATAAAGCTTGAATGAATATCCATCCATTATCTTTTACCCACTTCTTCCATTTTGGGTCACGGGGGTCGCCCATGTCCAGCAATCACTGTGTGAGGAGCAGGATACACCATGGACAGGTCTCCAGTCCATCACAGGGACACATAGAGACAAACGAGACAAACATTCACTCTGTCACTCACACAGGGACGATTTAGAGTTACCAATCAGCCTAACATGCATGTTTTTGGTCTGTGGGAGGAAAATGGAGTATCTGGAGAAAACCCACGCAGCACGGAGAGAACATGCAAGCTCCACCCAGAGGGGTCCCAGGACCGGGATTTGAACCAGGGACCTGCCCGCTGAGGGGCAACAGCTCTACCGGTTGTGCCACCGTGCTGCTGCACTAAACCATTGGGGGCAGCACTATTGAAGTTTCACTTCCCCAATTGATAATTGAACAGGAAATTAATGGGTGGATAAGTGATGTTTATTAATGTTTATATTTTCTTTTCTCTTAGGTCAACTGGATGATGCTGCACGGAGAATTCAAGAGTTGCAGAGACAAGTTTTGTCCCTAGAAATGGAAATCCAGCAGCTGACAATTAAGAAGTGCCCTCCTGTGTGTGTGTATGTATATATATATATATATACACACACACAAGTTTCTTTACCAACATTGCTCCATGTACAGTGTTCAATAAAATTATTAAATGAATTTTTGCAAGAAGCTGCCACAAACCTTGTTTAATTGTTTCACAACAGAAGCTTTATTTCCTCCCCTCCTCCATGTCCTACATTACCAGATGTGTAAAATATACAAACAGATGCAATTTAAATGTAAAAGATGTTCATATGCAGATTACTGAAGACAAGCTGTTTAAAAAAAGTTCTGACAGAATTATTCACATCAATTCATTCATTACTAGATTTAAAAAAAAAAAAAAGATAAATATACAGAGAGATTTCCAACACAGCTGCTTGCAGTAATGACTGTTCATCCATGAAGTGTGACTTGAAGAAGCAGGGAGGTTCTAGACTGCTTTGTCTCCTTTTACATCAAGAGGCTCCTGATAATTTGACATTAGGCAGCAACAGATGATCCACAGCTGATCGACTGAACCTCCTGATTGACTGGTACTCCTTCACATGGTCCTCTCTGGTAAAATCCTCAGACAAGCCTGGGTCTTCAGGGTCTTCTGGGTCTTCTGTGTGTCCTCCTTGCTGAGTTGCTGCTGCTGAGAAAGATGGACACAAGAAGAAAGTAAAAAGAGAAATTATTAATCATCAGAACATGGAAATGGTTTGACATAGTTTTTAATTCCATATTTAAAATGCTATTCTAAACAACAGAGTTGGAAGATGTCAGAGATTTTACATTAATAGATAAAGTTAAACATTTTAATGTTACAGCACTGACAGCAGCAGCAGTGTAGAGTTTAGCTACCTGTAGCTGCTAGCTAGCTTACTTTACAATCGGAGGCTGTTTCCTGACACAGTTACAGAATGGTAAATTGATGATGGATAACGTTACCAAAGCTAACTAACACATAAATCCTGTTTTTATTAACGTTAATATAGCTTGTAAACCTTTAAACGTTAGAGCACTGACAGCCCGAGTTGTATATTTTAGCTACTGCGGCTAAAGTTGCTGCAATGATGGATAACATTACCACAGCTAACAAACACATAAATACTGTTTTTATTAACCTTACCTTGCACTATATCTTGTAATATAACCTCTATAAATAAAGGTCGAAGGAATGAAATTCCATTAAGTTTCCAGACAGGTCTCCAGAGGGAGAATAGACCCGGAAGTACTGATCCACAGCATCGAGTCAAAAAGGAAGTTGTCTGACGTCATGTGAAAAGGGCCTATTGGGGGCAGTTCTTTAGTAACGCCTTTTTTTTTTTTTGGTCCAATCACATGTGGCTCTTGAGATACGCCTTCCTTTAGGAACGCCATCTGCAGACATGCCTACCTGGGTCAAAAACACCGCTGGGTTCCGTGCACCGGACTGGATGTGTCAAGTCTGACTTAACTTTTCATTCTATATGCTTTTTTATGATTGTCATCTGCGTTCTTTGTTTACAACAGGTCTCTCTTTTGTAAATGAGGCTCATTGAGGCTAACCTTTATAAATAAAGACTGAACTGAACCTGACCCGAGTACAAAACGAAGGGTTTACATGAGGCAGTCCCTCAAAATGGCTGCCACCCAGCTGTGGGGGAAGGGACTGAGACAAATGTATCTTTACTGATTTCACCTCAATGTGTCATAAATAAATAAAGACTTCCACATGCACTCCGCTGCAGCTCCTACCTGTTGTGTGCAGGTGTGTGTGAGGTTTCCAGCTGATGTCCAGCAGTCTGCGCTGACGATCGATCTCTTCCTCGTACCGGACGATGGTTTTTTTCAAACTCTGAATATTTCATGAGCAGTTAGTCGCTCGCTGATAAACTCTCTCAGAGACTGAACTGAAGACATTGTTGCTGCACACACTCAAACATTCACCTCTCACACACACACACAATGAGCTAACCATGCTAACTCTGCTAGCCCGGCTGCACTTCCGGTTGTCTCGCCACCTCTTGACGAAAATTTAAATATGAAGAAATATCCGAAATACAATAAGTAAAACGTAAAATTCGATCAATTGTATGGGCGGTTTCGGTTAACCAAGAACAAATGTTTCCAACACAAATACAAATAATTACCTTAACCACAAACACACAGCTTGAAATGTGTACAGCTGTCACGCAGCTAACGTGTGTACTTCCGGTGGTGTCTCAATAATAAGCGCCCGCAGAAATAGTAAAAAACAGTGTCTACATTCATTCAACCTTTATTTCTACAGGTAAATCCCACTGAGCCTCAAGGACTCATTTACAAGACAGACCTGATTTCAACAAAGAATGATGACAACAATAAACAATTATAAAAAGTCATACAATTTTTTTAGTTTTTTAACAAATAGGATGGCTAAAAAAAAGTAACAAAAACAGCTAGATTCTAAGGCGAATGTATAAAACTAAAAACTGGAACATGTCTGCATCGGTCCCTGCCAGGAGTCCAACAGATTCTTAAAGCCACTTAGAGAGGTCAAGGTCTACATTGAGAAATTATACCTTTTTTCATTCAAACTTTATTTATACATGTGAGTTACGAAGACTCATTTTCAAGAGTTTTGTTTTAGATAAACCGCAGATAAGGTCTCTGTTGAAAATGAGTCCTCGTGACTCAATGAGACTATTTCATATGCAGATCAATGACATGCTCAGGACAAGAACCGTCCTGACTCACCAAAAAACAAGAAATACCAAAGCATGCAACAAAAATACAAAAACAAGGTGACAAAATTCAGTTCAATTCAGTTTATTTATATAGTGCCAAGTCACGTCATCTCAGGGCACTGAACAGAAACATTCATATATAAAAATAATAATTTAACATTATTTTATTTTTTAGGAGCAGACAGCTTTGAGTTTAACCCCATCACATAACTCTCATCTTGAGCAAGCATGAAGGCGACAGTGGAAAGGAAAAACTCTCTCATGCAGACTCAGGATTAGCGGCCATCTGCTTCGACCGGCTGGGTTTAAGAGGAACAGATACACAATGGCAGGTCAAGAATCACGTTAACATAGAAATAGTATCAAATGAAAACTATTCAATTTTAACAATTCATTTAAGGAAATGAGGTCAGTTTGTCCTCTAGTAGTCTAAGTCTATAGCAGCATAACAAGCCGACCCTAACTATAGGATTTATCAAAAAGGAAAGTCTTAAACTGGATAATGTGTCAGCCTCATGGACAGAAACTGGAAGTTGGTTCCACAAGAGAGGAGCCTGAGAACTGGAAGATCTTCCTCCCATTCTGCTGCTGGAAACTCTAGGAACCACAAGTAAACCTGCAGTCTGAGAGTGAAGTGCTCTGTTAGGAAAATATGGAACAACAAGATGTGTAATATAAGATGGAGCTAGGTTGTTGAGAGCTTTGTAGGTTAGAAGTAAGATTTTGAATTCTATTCTGGATTTGACAGGGAGCCAATGGAGAGAAGCTAAAACTGGAGAGATATGATCTCTCCCAGTAACTCCAGTTAAGACTCTGGCAGCAGCATTTTGGATCAACTGAAGACATTTTAAAGAAGTATTTGGACACCCAGATAATAAACCATTGCAATAGTCCAGTCTAGACGTGACAAATGCATGGACCAGTTTTTCTGCATCATCTTTAGATCAGATGTTTCTAATGTTAGTGATATTACGCAGGTGGAAGAAGGAGGTTCTAGTAACGTTTTTAATGTGGGGGATAAAAGACATGTCCTGATCAAAAATAACACCAAGATTTTTAACATTAGAGCTGGAGGACAGATTAATGCATCTAAGGAGGGAGAAAGACTGAAACATTCATTCCTAAGGTGCTCAGGTCCAAAAACCAAAACCTCAGTCTTGTCTGTTCAACAGGAGAAAATTAAGGGTCATCCAGGTTTTTATGTCTTTAAGACATGCTTGTAGTCTAAGTAGCTGATTGGATTCATTGGGTTTAATGGACAAATATAATTGTGTATCATCAGCATAACAATGAACATTTATCAAAAGTGAAAAAGAAATACATCTACAGCAGCATGGTCCTATTGGCAGAGTGGTTCTGTTGGTAGTGAGGTTCTCTAATAGCAACATGGTCCCGTTAGCTGCAGCATGGTACTACTGTTAGCAGTCAGGTTCTGTTAGCGGTGAGCAGGGGTTAATTTGAGCCGGATCCTGTCGGAACAAGATCTGAGAACTCTTTCATTTTGACCGCTCGGATCCGGCAACTCAAATCTCTGCCCCTAAAAGTCCAAAGTCATCGCTCATTTTTATTTTGATTATTTATTAAAATTACAACAAGAGGAGACGTTGCCCATTCTGTGGAGTGGATGTTCTGGCTGCACCACGTTCCCGCCCAGCAGAGACGCGAACTGCATGTCCCGCGGGGAGCTTCTTCATCCACCTTCATCTGTGCGCCCTACAGACTTTACGCACAGCGTCTCCAGACAGGACACGCTCACAACTGCTGTGTCAGAACTCCTGCGTACTTGCCGTGGCGTATAACATTTCAGACATAATAAATAAGCTTACATTTTTTAAAAAATAAGAGTGAAATGTTTGACGAGAATTAACATCACGTCTCAAAACAACGGCACTAATTTGTCAAAATAACAGCGAATGTTGAAAAGACTATCCAATTAATTATCTAAAATACATGGATGGATTGTCTTTAGCTGGACAACTGAGAATTGAATCATCTGAAGGCAGTGGCAGTTGAGATTGGAGGAGAACAACGAACAGGACTGAATTCAGCAGAGTTCGGGTCAGACAGTATGTGGGTGTGTGGGGGAGGGTGGGGGGTTAGGACGCGCAACAGAATAGGACTTGCATTCACACACTGGCTTGTTTATTGTTGTTGCTCTCCAAAACAGTCATTTCAAGTCAACCTTTATTTCTACAGGTTGTTGGTCTCATTGAGCCTCGTCATTTACAAGAGACCTGTTTTTAATCAACTTAATCAAATGTTTACAGATGTTTAACAACCTGTTAAAATACAACGAAATGCAGGAAATGGCATCTTTTATTACAAATTTTCTGGGGGAGGACCCACGGACAGCACAGTCCCGTTAGCATGATGAGGATAATGATTGTGGCAACGGCCGATGACTGCCCTCCAGAACCGGTGTTAACCTATTTTTAGTCTAACATTTTTCTTAGTTTATTATCTTAGATCTTATTGTTTTTCTTTAACATTTTGTTATTTTGATGGATGTAACTGGGACCCTGTGTACACAATTTCATTACACCACATGTAGCACATGACAAATAAAGAACCGTTGACGTTGATGCCAGCAGTGCATTTTACTCCGTCAATCTCCTTGATGCGTTTTTTTTCACTGTCAGAACTGATAATTATGAGATACTGTTTAAAATATGAACGTTTATCTTGATGAGATACATTTTTATTGTTAGACAGTGCAGTTATAAATGAAACGTTTCATAAAAGGACTGATTTAAAAGTGAAGGTGTTGCCAACACAAAGTGCTTTTCCTCTTTTGTTTTGATTTAAAACTAACAAATCTTCATAAACAAACACGTTCAGAACAAAAACTAACTTTTAGGTTGATTTAATCAGAACTGAGAAACACGTCAGATTTAACTTCTCAGGAACATTAAAATCAAACCTGATCAGTCAGTTATAAAACAACACTTTATATAAACAGAGCCATGTTATATTTAAAGACCTCCTTCAACACAAACCACATTTAGAACTTTTCCCCTCCAGATGTTCGGTTTACTTTAGAACCAACAGAAGCTTCTGGTCCTGTTGATGTTCTGGTCTGTTTGTTTCCTGCAGATGATCCTGTGGTTCTGATCAGATTCTGATTTCAAGCTGTCCTCCCTCAGTCTGATGACGTCTTCACTGTCTCACAGGCTGCCGTTGGACGGGTACGTCCCCCCGGTGTCTCTTCACGTGGACAGTCAGGTTGCTTCTCTGGGTGAAGCATTTGCCACATACTGGACAGGAAAAGGGCTTCTCACCAGTGTGAGTCCTCATGTGTCCCACCAGGATATAATTCTCAGTGAAACATTTGCCACAGGTCTGACAAGAGTAAGGTTTCTCACCAGTGTGAGTCTTTATGTGGGACGCTAAGTGACCACGTCGTGCAAAGTTCTTACCACACATTTGACACGAAAAGGGCTTCTCACCGCTGTGAACTTTGGTGTGAGTCACCAACTGACCTCGCTGGGTGAAGCTTTTACCGCAAGTCTGACACGTGTAGGGCTTCTCTCCCGTGTGAATCCGAATGTGGCTCAACAACTCATCGCTTCTCCTGAAGCTTTTACCACAGGTCGGACAGGGATAGGGTCTCTCACCCGTGTGGGTTCTCAGGTGCGAGTTAAAACTGCGAGTGCAGCTGAAACTTTCTCCACAGGTGTTACAAGAATAAGGCCTCTCACCTGTGTGAGACCTGGCGTGAATGGTTAACTGGCTCTTTACTGTGAAGCCTTTTCCACAAGTCTGACACGTGTGGGGCTTCTCACCAGTGTGGACCCGCATGTGGTAGACCAACGTGTTGTGCTGGATGAAGCGTTTACTGCAGACCTTACAGGAATAAGGCCTCTGGTCCGTGTGGGTTCTGGTGTGGACCATCAGGCCACAGCTTCTCATGAAGGTTTTACCACAGAACTTACAGGAGAAGGGCTTCTCACCAGTGTGGATTCTTCTGTGCTCCTTCATTTGATAATTATGTCGAAAGGCTTTTCCACAAATGTCACATTTTACAGGTTTTTCATTCGACTCAGGATCAAACCACTTTCCTGGGTTCAGTTCTCCGTCTCCAGATGGTCCTGCTTCTTCCTGGTCTTGGTTCTCGGGCTCAGGAAAGTTCATAGGGAGGAGCTGTTCCCAGTTTGGTTCTGGTTCACTGTGGTCTCTTTGCTCAAAAGCAGGAGTCACCATGAAGGCTTCAGCCTCGAGCTTCAGAACCAGCTGCTCCTCATCCTGACTGACACGGAGTTCTTCCTGCTCCTCTTTCAGCTGGGCAGCTTCTGGTTCCTCCTGGTCTGGACTGAAGCTCCTCTCTGGGTCACAGAGATGCTGATTCTCCTTCTCTTTCCAGTCATGATGCTGCGGGACGTCTGACAAGACAAAAACCAGAAGAAACAATGAAAAAGACAGAAGCTGAAATGCCTGGGTCCAAAGATAAAAGTTCTTTTTGTTGGGTCAGGAAATCGATTTAAACTACATCATTGTTTAAAATGAATAAAAACTAAAGTTTTTTTTTAATTACTTGTTGGGAAAAGTAGTTGCTTCAGTTTTTCATCAGTATATAAAAACCATTAACTGAATAAATGTAATAGTAAAAAATCAGGAACTTGATTGGATCCAGCAGTTTAACACAGAGACATTTGTTCTATGAGGTTTATTTTTAGGCTGTTGTCTGTGATTAACGTCCATCAATTAGTTTATCTTTGATCTCTTTTCCCTTCTGCTCGTTTTACGTCGTTTCAGTTTAAATATTTAGTTCGTTTCCAAAATACACAAACAAAGATGCAAACATTGATATTTTATAATAGAAACCTGATTTTGAGCTGTTTTTAATCCAACGACTCTTTAACAGAAAGCACTGCACTGCATTGATGCAGCTGCAGCTCCTACCTGTTGTGTGCAGGTGTGTGTGAGGTTTCCAGCTGATGTCCAGCAGTCTGCGCTGACGATCGATCTCTTCCTCGTACCGGACGATGGTTTTTTCAAACTCTGTGAATATTTCTTCAGCAGCAGCAGTTAGTCGCTCGCTGATAAACTCTCTCAGAGACTGAACTGAAGACATTGTTGCTGCACACACTCAACACATTCACCTCTCACACGCACACAGAGCTAACGATGCTAACGCTGCTAGCGCCGGGTGCACGTCCGGTGACGTCACTTTGCGAAGCCCCGACGAAAACTAAGTTTATCTTACTTATATTATCCACTGAACTATTAAAAAAAACATCGATCAAGTAATAAATTAACTTGTGTACGTTCACTTACAACGGTTATTTCCAAAACAACTTCGGACATTCACGCTAACAATGCTAACACTTAGCTTTGTTTACTTCCGGTGGTGTCACCCTAACAGTGACCGACGGATCAGAAGGACCTGTCCAGAGTGTCCTCCGCCTGATAAGGTGACCAGATTTCTGACATTAAATCTGGGGACATTTCCAGCTCAGAGACCAAAAATAATAAAATGTTATCAAGATGAAATTATGAAACGGGGACATTTACGGTTTTATTTATTTTTTCATATTTATTCATGTTTAAACATTCATCCATCCATTATCTTTTACCTGCTTCTTCCGTTTTTGGCTCACGGGAGCCCATGTCCAGCAGTCACTGTGCAAGGGGCAGAGTACACCCTGGACAGGTCTCCAGTCCATCACAGGGACACAGAGACACATGAGACAAGTACAGCACTTTGGTTGGCCTTGTAGCTGTTTTAAGTGCTCTATAAATAAAATGGTATGGTAAACAACCATTCACTCTCTCACTCACACCTAGGGACAATTTAGAGTTACCAGTCAGTCTAACATGCATGTTTTTGGTCTGTGGGAACAAACTGGAGTACCCAGAGAAAGCCCACGCATGCACGAGAGAACATGCAAACTGCACCCAGAAAGGCCCCTGGACTGGGATTTGAACCAGGGACCTGTTCGCTGAGAGGCAGCAGCTCTACCAGTTGCACCACCTCCCATGTTTAAACAATAAAAATCAAATGTAGCAGCAGGAATGTGCCTCCACACACATTTCCTAAGAATAATAAAATAAATAAAGTAATAGTAGCTGTGGTGTCAGAAACATTTGTAATGTGGAGTGGGGCGGGGGACACTGGTGGGGGGGGGGGGGCCGGGGGGTTCTCCTCCAGGAATTTTTTTATGAAGTAGATGCCATTTCCTGCGTTCTGGTGTATTTTAACGAGTGGTTACTACATTTACCTCCATAAGTAAACACTTGATTCAATAACTCAAAGTTTGTTTTCTCAGTCATCCAGGTATATAACAACAAAAAAGGTTGAATCATGTCATCTGGACTTCGTTTTTTTGTTAAAAAGAAACGTTTCGCCCCTCGTCCAAGAGGCTTCGTCTGTCTGAGGCCTAGCCATCTGGTATTACCCAGAAGCCACCCTGACTCTTGTGTTTCAAGCCTGCCTCAGATACCCCTGAAGTCTGGCCTTTTCACTAATGGTTTCAAAAACACAAAGTTTGTTTTCTCAGTCATCCAGGTATATAACAACAAAAAAGGTTGAATCATGTCATCTGGACTTCGTTTTCTTGTTAAAAAGAAACGTTTCGCCCCTCGTCCAAGAGGCTTCGTCAGTCTGAGGCCTAGCCATCTGGTATTACCCAGAAGCCACCCTGACTCTTGTGTTTCAAGCCTGCCTCAGATACCCCTGAGGTCTGGCCTTTTCACTAATGGTTTCAAAAACTCAAAGTTTGTTTTCTCAGTCATCCAGGTATATAACAACAAAAAAGGTTGAATCATGTCATCTGGACTTCGTTTTTTTGTTAAAAAACTTGATTCAATATTCACTCAACCTTTATTTAGACAGGTTAGTCCCATGGAGCCTCAGGGACTCGTTTACAAGAGAGACCTGATTTCAACAAAGAACGATGACAACAATGGACAACAAAGACATAACCGACATGCATAAAGAATGCATAGAGAGATTTTTTTTTTAACAAGTGAAAATAAAATGGTATTTAAAAGAAAATGTAACAAAAAAGCATCTAGATTGTAGGGCGGTGTAGAAAACTAAAAACATGTTAACTATTTAATAACTATTTTAAAGAGCATGGTGGTTTGCATATTGCCCCCACGCAAGTGAACTTGGTTGAAAAATCTTCTCGTGTCCTCCGAGTGGCTTATTTGAGTAAAATGATGAAAGGATATTTATTTTATCCAACAATGATCACTCCCTCCTCCTCATTTTCCGTTCACTTCCTGCTTCATTCAGTTTCCGTCACTGAGGAACTTATAGACAAACACACCTCAGCTCCATGTTTTTACCTGGGCACAGCAGAAACACTAGAAGCACTTCCTGCCACAAACAAAATCTTTGTGTAGGATCAGCCCAGTTCAAACCCAGTAAATTGGTTCACATGTTCCATCACAGGACAGCTAGGGGCTGAAACTTGTGCCGTCAGAAACTGAATTGCTGTTTTGGTCGATCCGCATGTCTCTTTTCAGAAATACATCCTGTCCAACTCTGAATGCTGTCATACGTCTACACGCAACTTTTCTTTTTCTCATTCATAAAAAGCTAAAATCGGGGACATTTCCGGGGGCATCTTTAGCCAGGGACAGGTTGTCCAAAACGGGGACTGTCCCTGGAAATCGGGGACATCTGGTCACCCTAGAGACACACCTGTATTTATTTACCTTTATTTAATTTATTAAAATAAAATAAAAAAGACTACGTCTCTCAGTTGGCCTGGGAACGCCTTGGAGTCCTCCCAGAAGAAGAGGTGGCTGTGGAAAGAGATGTCTGGACCTTCCTGCTCAAGCTGCTGCCCCCGTGACCTGACTTCAGAACAAGTGGAAGATGAAGGATGGATGGATAATTTAGTAAAAAAACAATAAGAAACAACCAAAGACATTGTTTCTGCAGAGACTCCAGTCTTCACCTCACACAGAAACCTCCACCAGTGCATACACATGAAGACGCTGCTGACGCTTGTTGCTTCCACGCACGTAGAACAGTGAAGCTCCAGAGAACATTGATACGTTTATTTTAGGTCGTTTTTAATTTTATTCACCATTTTTACTATTTACAATAAAAAAACATTTGAGTAATCGACTCTGAGTCACCGTATTTTCAACAGAGCTTTAAATATTCTCCCCCACTGGTTTGTCATCAGGTCCTACTGCTTCCTGGACTTCACCTTCACTAGTCAGTGCCCTGACATGACTTCTGTTGTGACTTGGTGCTGCAGAAATAAAATGAACTGACTTCATCTTTGCCTCTTCCTCGTCCACAGTTTCTATGAGCGCTACTCCTCTTTCTCTTCATTCTCTTTCAATTCAAAGTTTATTTATACAGCACATGCAAAAAGAGCCACAGCTGACCAAAGTGATTCACAAGAATTACAACATAAAATATTATAAAAGAAATAAAACTAAGCTTAATAAAAATAAAAGCATGATAAATGTTACAGTAAAAATACCAATAAAATAATAGTATTAATAATACCAAGACAACTATTGAATACTTTTATACTAATGAACTCTTCATTCATTAGCTCCTCAAAGTTCTCCTTCCATCTTCCCGTCTCTCTCCTCACTTGTTAGAACGTTCTTGTCTTTAACAAGCCTAACCTGCTGCACATCCATCCATCCATCCATCCATCCATCCATCCATTATCTTTACCCGCTTATTCCATTTTGGGTCACGGGGGTCGCTGGGGCCCATGTCCAGCAATCACTGTGCGAGGGGCGGGGGACACCCTGGACGGGTCTCCAGTCCATCACAGGGACACATAGAGACAAACGAGACAAACAACCATTCACTCTCTCACTCACACCTAGGGACAATTTAGAGTTACCAATCAGTCTAACATGCATGTTTTTGGTCTGTGGGAGGAAACTGGAGCACCCGGAGAAAACCCACGCATGCACGGAGAGAACATGCAAACTCCACCCAGAAAGGCTCCTGGACCGGGGTTTGAACCAGGGACCTGCTCGCTGAGAGGCAGCAGCTCTACCAGTTGCGCCACCGTGCTGCCCTCACATCCTTTCAATTCAATTCAATTCAATTCAATTCAATTAAAAAATACTTTATTAATCCCAAAGGGAAATTAATTGTTGTTGTAGCTCATCATCCTGGTTCTGGGACAGAGCCAGGCTTTCCAGCCCGATCCCTCTGTCTCTCCAATCGGTTCAAGTCCTTCTCTCCCTCTTTAGTGTCCAGTCTCCCATACAACTCATCGTACACCTTCTGCTTTGTCTTAGCTACCTCCCTCTTTGCTCTACGTCCCATCTCCTTATCTTCCTGTCTCCTCTCTTCAGTCCTCTCTCTGTCATATTTCTTCTTGGCTAACCTCTTTCTTTGAACAGCTTCCTGCACTTCTCTATTCCACCACCAGGTTTCCTTATTATCTATTCTCTGTCCAGATGACACACTAAGTACCTTCCTACCTGTCTCTCTAATTACTGTTGCTGTAGTAGTCCAGTCATCTGGAAGCTCTTTCTTACCACCCAGAGCCTTTAACAGCTCCTCTCTGAATTTATCACAACATTCTTCCTTCTTCATCTTCCACCATTTGGTCTTCTCTGATTTGACTCTTTTTCTCTTCTTCACAACAACAGTCATTCTACACACAACCATCCGATGCTGTCTGGCCACGCTCTCCCCTGCCACAACCTTACAGTCTCCAGTCTCCCTCAGGTTTCCTCTTCTACACAGAATGTAGTCGACCTGCGTACTCCTTCCTCCACTCTTATAGGTCACTCTAGGCTCCTCCCTCTTTTGGAAACAGGTGTTGACTACAGCCATTTCCATTCTCTTGGTGAAATCCACCACCATCTGTCCTTCCTGGTTTCTTTCCTTGACACCAAACCTACCCATCACTTCCTCATCCTCTGTTTCCTTCACCAACATGTCCATTCAGGTCTGCTCCCATCACCACTCTCTCCTCCCTGGGAATACTCTCTATCACTTCATCCAGATCTTTCAAAATGTATCTTTCTCCTCCTCATCACATCCAACCTGTGGAGCATAACCACTGACAATGTTTAGCATCAGACCTTCTACTTCTACCTTCAGACACATCATCCTATCTGACACTCGTTTCACCTCTACTACATTCTTTGCCAACTCCTCCTTCAGGACCACCCCTACTCCTTCTCTCTTTCTATCCACACCGTGGTAAAACAGTTTGAACCCTGCTCCAATGCTGCGAGCCTTGCTGCCCTTCCACTTAGTCTCTTGGACACATAAGGGGCAACTGTGGCTGAGTGGTTAGAGCAGTCGTCCTCCAATGCAAGAGTTGGGGGTTCAAATCCACCAGCAGTCACATGCTGAAGTGTCCCTGGACAAGACACCGAACCCCTCGTTGCCTCCGATGTGTGTTCCATCAGTGTATGAATGTGATAAAGCTCTGATTAGTCTCTTTAGAATGATTTGTTCAATTAGCTTTGTAGAGATCTAGTATAGAGCTGTATGAACGGGTAAATCAGGCACAGATTGTTGTGTAAAGTGCTTTGAGTACCTCCATAAGATCGAAAGTCGTTATATAAGTACAGTCCATTTATAAAACATCTACCTTCCTTCTCAGCATCATGTCAGCCAGCTCTCTACCTTTGCCAGTCATTGTCCCCACATTTAGAGTTGCAACCCTCAGTCCTACATTCTTCACTTTCCTCTTCTCCCTCTGTCTCCTGACACGTTTCCCTCCTCGGGGTCTTCCACTAACAGCAGCACAACAGTTTCCACCAGCACCCTGTTTGTCAACAGCACCGGTGGCAGTCGTTGTTAACCCGGGCCTCGACCGATCCAGTCTGGTTTTGATTTCATGAACTCACATTACGATTTTGGCAAAAGTGTTTTACATCGGAGGTCCTTCCTGACACAAACCTCACCGTTTACCCGGGCTTGGAACCAGAACCAGAACCAGAGGTCCACTGGCTTGTGCTCTAGTGGCTGTTTTTAACTTCATAAACACCTAAACTATTATAATTGTAATTAATTATTATCAGAGTTTGCAGGTTTTTTTGTAACTTAGTTTGGAAGTAAAACTCTGATACGGTTTCATTTCCATAAATCAAACGTTTTATTTTGGACATAAAATCTTGACTGAAATGAATTAAATTTCATAAAGAAATCATCATTTTGCTGTTGAACCTGAAGTTATTTCCAGTTCCTGAGCTCAGAGGCGGAGCCGTCAGCGTTTGTTTTTCATGCAGATTAAAGACGTGCTCTTCGGCAGCGAGGCAGAACCCCACGATGAAGAACATCAGCTGATGACAGTGTTGCTGGAGCCCAAACGTCCTCAGAGAGCTGCAGCTCGGAGGGACAAACAGCCGCAAGCTAAAAGCTAAAAGCTGCTGCAGATGAAAAACATCACGAGCTGCAGATCAGCACTTCCAACTTTGTTGTTCTAAGTTTACGTTTCTACTTAAATCTGAAGAATATTTGCATTTGATACATTTATCTCTCACTTCTGTCATTGTTTTATTTGTACGATTATCGTTCGTTTTGTTGCTCCCTGTATACATACAGTATTATTTTAATAATTATTCTATTAAAAACAAAATGCTGTAGAGTAAACAACAACAAATAAACCCTCCATCATAAGAAAAACATCAACATTTTAACATGAAAACAGACAAAACCAGTAAAACAAAGTGTTTATTTACAACGTACACGTATTCTTCTGATGGACGGTTTATTTTAGTTTATTTTAGTTTCATTCTCTGTTTTTATTTATTTTATTGTCTATTTACTGTTTTGAAAAAAGAAACAATAAAATAAATAGAATTAGAGAGAATGTTTGACCTGCAAGAAAATAATATCTTCAGGATTTTAAAAGTATTTTTACAGTAAACGCTTCAGATTTTTGTTGTTGTTTAATCCAACATGAATTTGTTTTGTTTGTTTCAATTATTAAAGAATAAACGTCTCCTCAGAAACACCTGCACGACGTCAGCCCTGATGTTTGTTTCTCGGCTGTAATTAACCGGAGCTGCAGCTGAGAGCCGTGGCCCCCCCAGGCCCCCCAGGCTCTCCCTGGGGCCCCACTCAGTAAACACTCAGGTGAGGAGACGGGGACACCTGAGCAGGTGAGGAGGAACAACACCGCCCATGGTTTTTAACGTTTCATCCAAGAACTGAGGTCAGCGCAGGTCCTCTGACCCATCAGAACCAGAACCCAAAGTCCAGAACCTCTTCAAACTGATGGTCTCTGTTCTGACTGTGGTTCTGTTTGAACCCGTCAATGTTTTCTGCTTGATCTTCATTGGACAAATTAACTCGAGGTCCTCTTCTGATTTTAGTCTTTGTCCTCCCAGAGTATCCTCAGTGATCCTGAAGACAAAATGAGACATTTTACTTCCTGTTTACATTTCTCAGTATGTCCATGACTGTCCTCCTTGTTGGAATCTGTCCCTCCAGTCAGGTTCTGTGAAAGAGTCCAACCTGCAGCAGCTGGAGACAGGAGCAGAGACAGGAAGTCCTGAGGGACAACAGTTTGTTGTTGAGGAAAATCTCTGAGGACATCAGTGCAGAGAACAGATCAGAGCCGAGCAGAAGAAGAAGACGACGAGGACAGAGCAGAAGACGAGGACAGAGAAGAAGAAGAAAAGGACAGAGCAGAAGAAGACGAGGACAGAGAAGAAGAAGAAAAGGACAGAGCAGAAGAAGACGAGGACAGAGGTTTAAGGCTGAGAACTATGGCAGCAGCAGGAGACGTGGAGCTGCAGGACATACTGATGAGGCGCTGCGATGAAGCTCAGAGGACAAAGAGCAACATGATCCGAGTTTTCATCAGCTCCACGTTCACAGGTCAGACTGGGTCTTTCTGTGGGTTCGGATAGGCTGAAGTCCTGGTCCGATCTGCAGGGTTCGGATCAGGTCTGCAGCCTCTCGTTAATTACCCAAATCTTTTTAAGAATTACTTCTGTCTGAATAAATAATATGTTTCAAAATAAAGTATAAAGACACCTTCAGAATAAAGGTTCACATCTTTGTCCTGTTCAGGTCTGGTCTTGGAGGTCTTTGTCCTGTTCAGGTCTGGTCTTG